GAAATTGGAAGGTATACATTTATATATGTATAGATATCTATAAAGATATGCCAGTGTTTCCCCTAAGGAAAGCTAAGGGCTACAAGATGGAGATTCATTTTTTATCAGATCTATTCTCACGCTGTTCAAACTTTTCATTCTATATATTATTAAACATACATCATATGGAGCTGTGGATGTGCCTGAGCAGTAGGGTATTGCCTAGCATGCATAGGACCCTGGGCTTGATCTCCAGCACGGCAAAAAATAATAAAAATTCATCATGCATATTAATGTATGCAAAACAGAAGCTATCCAGGGGAAGCACAGGCAAAAAAAAGAAAAATAGAAAGGGTGAAGCCTGGCTCACTGTACCCACCCAACTTCCAGCTGCCTGTGCCATAGTCCAACAGACCCAGATTTTTGTGCTTTCCCAATCTTGGTACCACTGTGCTCACTTTTAGAGACAAGAACATCAAAGACTGGAGATGAAACAGTACAGAACCCCTATATCCAAGATGTGTGTATTTTTTTCAACATTCATGAGAGCCTTATCTTCACAAGTTGTACTTTTAATTAAGGCACGGCATACTTCACAACTTCTGTTTACTTGTTTTTAACACACCATTTCTACCTACCATCTCCGTGTTCCACGAATGGCATATGCTGCAAAGACTGAGGCTTGTGAAAGACTTTTCTTCCACAGTAAGAACCCAAATCGCCTATGTGTTCTTGGCAATAAACTCTGGAGAAAGCACCAGTTCACGCCTGGCCCAGCTGGCCAATTATTCAGAAAGGAGATTTTCTGATGGCATAATGCTCATCATTAGTCCCACAACCATTTGGAAAGCATTTTTAGTATTTAGAGAGCCCCTTAAACAAAATTAAACCACTGTTTGAGCAAATCCACATCAAGGAGTCAAGAGGAATAATTAAAGGAGTGAATGTTTTATTCTTTAGTGTTTAATAGAATACATAACAAGTCACATAATCAATGATTCATTACTTCACACACACAGAGGAAAACAGTATCGAGTATTTGTTATACAACTGGTTGTGAACAGGGAAAACAAAAATCTCTAGAACATTTAGATGATTGAAGAAATTCGCAAAATTCAGGCATCTCTGAAAAGACTTCATCAGTGTCTTTTTTTAGAAGAGAGGGATTTTTTTCCTGTCTTGGATTTCTATTAGAAAAGTCAGATTCTCTTATATTTTTTCCTCTCCCCTTCTGAGAAAATGACTCAATGATATGCATCACTTAACATGTGATTATTTTCAACAAGTTCAGAATCCCAGAGAGGTCTGTGGGAATCTTCTACTATTTATCAAATGAATTTTTCAGATGCCTGGGAAAATTTAAACAACATATAAATTACATTTTCAAAATTCACATCCATGAAGAATGTTTTAACCTTTTGCCATTAAAAGGTCACTAATGCTGTTTGAGTGGACATAGTGAATTTCATCATTTGTATTCAATAGTATTGGCAAAATTCACCTGTCTATAAATTGACAGAGTTGTATAGTCATTTACATTACAATTAATGTTCACATACCTCAAAACACATTTAGAATTTAAAAACTATCTTGGAAGAAAAATCACAAAATGCAGAAGTAATAAGAATTCTTGGTCAACAAGTTCATCTTCTTTCCACAAAAGATTATACTCTAGTAGAGACATTTTGGTTGAATTTCTTCCATCTGAATCCTCAAGTATTAGCAGAGAATCTAACTCCTTGAGTATTAATATTTTTAGATTCTTACTGTCCCAAATTCTGACAAAGTCAACTTCAACACATTGTTTCTGGTTATAAGAAAACCTAAAGTACTAAAGATAACTGGTAATAATAATTCTATATTTTATTCATTTTTCAAGAGACAGACTTGGGTCATCTAAAAAGATTAATTCATGTTTTATATGATTTATAGGAAAGAAAAAAAACGGGAAACTGCAAAGGATCAACACTGGTAAGTTTACAATTAAAAAATTCAGTTTACTATTTTAAAACAAGTCAACTGTGTATAGTATTTTTAATTGAGACTATAAATGAAAAGTCTTAAGGAATTCAACCCCTCCAATCAATATTTTTCTAAATGTCTGCATTGTTAATTACTATTTTTCATGTAGGAGTACAAAATTATGTAAATATTAGATTGGAATTCACCATAATTTGAACAGTAAAAAAATTATCAAAGTTTCACCTTACATGGCTTTAATGTAATAACAGCATTCCATGGAAAATTCCAATAAAAATTAGAGTATGTTATGAGCACTGGCAGTTGCCCATTTGATCTGAACACATTATGCGTTTCCTCAGAGAAGTAACAGGATATATATATTCTCATGTCTGGTTTAAAAGAGAAGTTTGGCAGTAGTATAAATTATCACTTTGCTATCAATCCAAAACCCAAGAAACAAGAATAAAAAGTGTTAAAAATGGGGAAAAAATTAAGTCTCATACCTTCAAGGAAATTCTCCACAGCATAGTATTTGAAAAATTAGAATATGGTTCATAGTCTACATGTATTACAAAGCAATGTGTCAAATACTTGGTGCAAAAACATAAAACATGGTACCTGGCTTGTTGGATTTTTTTAGCCATCAGTATCATTTCCTTTTAAATGTCAGTTACATTTTTGCACATCAAACAGTAATTAGAGCAACATATGTGAATGCTTGCCTCTGAGTCAGACACTGCAGTCCTAATTACCTGAACAGTTTACAACATTCTCCCAAGTAATTTGAACAGTGTCTTTCCAGGGCTTATTCAAATGGACACTGGATACCCTATTTCAGCTCAAAAGTGAAGACTAACATTCCAGACCATTTTGTAGACCTTAAAGTCTCCTTCTATAATCCAGAGCACATGGGAGAAAAAGGGTCCAAAAGTGCTCGTGCCAAGTCATCTTACTTTAGTTCTACCCAACATAAAATTAGTTACCTGCCCAATGCTTTACCACTGAAAGTAGAAAGTTTTCATGTACTGCCTAACCTCAGAGGTCACAGTGATTCTTAGAAAAAAAGAGACGGTTTTACTGTCCCTAACATTGAATTCCCAGTCTATTAAATATTGTAGGGAATGTAGGAATGGGGTCAGGGGTGGCACAGCTAAGGTGCCCATGGCTAAGACAGTAAGACACTTCAACTCAAAGTTTTACAAGGTAAAACTTGTAAGAGTCAAATGGCAGAGACAAAACTTTAGCACTTTTTCATGCCTTTTGGAGTTGAGCAGACTTGACCAGAATCATATTTGCCGAGTCATGCCATCTGTTAAGTACTTCCTAAAGATGTTCTCAACCATGTGCTTTTTTGTTGAGCAATTCAACAAGGATGCCATGGGGTAGAGAAATCTCTGTGACACATGATGGGCCAGTGAGTGACAGATCTAAACCATCTCAGACCTGAAGCAAAGCTCTGATGTATTAGTTGGAAAATAACTCAACATATAAGCAAACACAACTTCCTAGTTGCTGCTTCCATTTCCCCTAAAATTAGCTTTTGTATATAATGCTAACTTTACTAAATATGCAACTAGAACTTAACTCTATTTCCCAATTAAAATGAATTAGTGGATTTAAAATACAGGTACCTTGCATAACTAAGATCCCAGCCCCCCAAAAAAGTATGGCACAAATTCAGTTTACAATTACATTTTTTTTTTCCTGGCCCAATCTCCCATACACAAGAACATAAGAAACTCATCAAAACATGTGGTTTTAGTTACATACACCATCAGATGCAAGTTACTGGGGGGTAAATATAGGAAATTTTATAGCATTAGTAAATGAATTAAAAAACTAAATAATTCTTGTAAAATGTTTATATATGGTATATACAGGTTGAATCACATGTCTAAGAATAAAAGTGTTCCAATTTGTAACGTCATGAACATAGTAAGATACAGTACAAGATACATTTTTTAAAGAAAAAATAGCACTAAACACTGAAAATGACTCTTATAAAATCTTTAAAAACATATTTCGGAGAAAGATGCTGAAACAAACAAAAAAGCTTCTCCATCATCACAGAATATCCAAAGGATGCCTCACAGTATGAGGAGGATTTGAATCCCTTCTCTTAAGGTGTACTTAGGCTATACACTGGGAATTTTTTCCACATGAGAGTAAAGGTATAAGGCAACCAGGTCTCCTGTTCCTGTTGCATTTATCTAAAACACCATTTTATTGCTCAGCTCACTTTTAAGTACTTATTTGAGCTCATTTAAAATATTCTCTTTTACAGCTATCTAAAGATGGGCAGACCTCAGTGCTTATATTTTTCTGCAGCTCTATCACTTGAAAAGATTCCACTTTACTTTCATACAAATTACATGAAAGAACTAACATGTTCCAGGTTTTCAGGTTTGCCCAGCAGTCAACATGAGCTGGGCTTAGAGAAAGTTAAGATTTTTAATAAGAAACTTTAAGTCTAAGTAATCAAAACCAAAGATTTTGCCCAAGTAAATAAATTTTTAAATCAGGATTTATAATCATAAAACAAGTTCAAAAACTAAAACCCTCCTGGGTAACTCTTTGGTTAGGTTTAGGATTCAAAACAGTTCAACGAGCTACCAGTTAGGTCTGTTATTAATCTCGATAAAATGCTTCGCAAGTTTGCGTTTACTGCTTGGTAATTTTTAAATGTTCATGACCTCAAACGGATGGAACAAACTTCCAACTTTCAGACAATAAATGAGTATGTCTGCTCCTCCCTTCCCACCCTTCCTCCTCTTTCCTCCCTCCCACCCCCCCATACCTAGATGTAATAAGGGTTGTGTTGTCCTACTGCCCACAAGGAACAGTAATTCGCAAGTTTGCGTTTACTGCTTGGTAATTTTTAAATGTTCATGACCTCAAACGGATGGAACAAACTTCCAACTTTCAGACAATAAATGAGTATGTCTGCTCCTCCCTTCCCACCCTTCCTCCTCTTTCCTCCCTCCCACCCCCCCATACCTAGATGTAATAAGGGTTGTGTTGTCCTACTGCCCACAAGGAACAGTAAACAGTAAAAGGAACAGTAACACACGGCTGCATTTAGTCACTGCCACCTGACTCACCGCAGCGATTGGAGACCTGGGTGGCTGCCCTTTTAGGGTGCAGCCAGTGCCCTTTCTCCTTGCCCATGAGGACTGCCGAATCAACCCACCGAACAAACCCAAAGAGAAAGGGCGCCCCCGCAAGCAGGAGTTTCTCTTTCTACAAGTTTAAGCTACAGGCGAAGACCTATTCTGTGTGCCAAACATCCAATCTTTCACTGTACCCGCACTAGTCTTCTACCTCCAATTCATCAAAACTTTACTCATTTACAGTCACTGAATTGCCTCCGTGGGGTCTTAATTCCAGTATTGAAGTCTTCCATTCAGTCTCTAAAACTCTACTTTTAAAGAAACTGTAATGATCTTTAAAAAACAAAAACAAAAAGAAAAAAAACACTATCCCAGATAGTGTTATCAATTCTAGCTCTTAAAACGGGAAAGAGTCAAAAAGGCTTGAGGAGATTTCAAGAAATCTTCTACACACTGGACACCATCCAATTCATTTATTCCCAGGTATTTGGTGACTTTGTGGCCACGCTGCCCCACTAGATCCAGGCTGAAGTACAACGGTGGGGAAGGGTGCTTTGAGGACGGGAGTTAAGGGAGGATGGCAAGGGGACTAGGTCTGAGGGCCCTCCGTTAGCAGGGTCCAGAGAAGCCGAAGCCCAGAGAATTTGTGCCTGCAGATTCTGCAGTGGGGGCTGACAAGTCTGGCCGAACTACTGGAGGGGGCCGGAGGAATCAGGGAACCGAGGGCGGGGCGGGGGGGCTATAGTTATCCCAGCAAGGAAGAGGGGAAGTGGGCGCTGGAGTCGCGAGGGGTCTGAGGAGCTCACTCCCTGCAGAAGACGTACTCGGTGTAGCTGGTCCAGATCTTGTCCTCGCTCTGGTCGGTACTGCTGGCAAAGGCGCAGGTGCCGGTGGAGCTGCACGCCACCATGTGGAAGCCGGACTCGGACAGCTTGTCAAAGGCCTGCTCCAGGAAGTTAAACTTGAGGTAATAGCGCGAAGTGTAGCGTTCCGGGGGCCTGTCGGGGTCCCGGCTCTCATTCAGGGTGTCCCCGAACACTTCCTTGGCCAGAGACGTCTTGCCGCACACGGTGATGCGTGCCACCCGCCGGAACTTGGCGTCCGCCTGCGCATCCCGCCCGATGGTGTAGGAGCCGCG